TGAGCACCGCAACCCTAGAGGCGGACTCGACTGGCTTTCGAGCAAGGGAAACCTTTACCTTTACTATGCAAGGAGTCATTAACAGGAAGAAAGCTTCTTTTTAAAAAAAAAAAACATTTTATTCATGAGGTTTTTACATTATACAAAACACAATATATTGATTGTATTACAGTAATTACCATATCATGAGTCTATGTTAACATTTGTTGTCTAGCCACAAATAAAACATTTCCCTTCTTTCTTTAAGTATGTTGTCATCTTTACCTTGCAAAATCAGTGTTAATTTATCCATCTCTGCAATATTCAACATTTTTATATATCCATTCATCTCTCGAGGGTATTTTCCCCCGTTTCCAATATTTAGCAAATATAATACGAGCCGATGTTAACATATATGTTAATATATATTGATCTGTTTTTTTAATACTTATCTGGCAAGCAGTGTTCCCTCTAAGCTGAGTTAGTGTGAGCCAGCTCACAGTTTTTCACACATTTTTCACACATTTTTGTCTTCGCTCAGGAAGGAGGGCTCCAGCCCAGGGCAAACTAATTTATGCAGTAGCCAAATCACCTGCCTGCTCACAACTTTAATGCTGGTAGCTCACAAAGTTGAATTTTTGCTCACAGGACTCCACAGCTTAGAGGGAACGTTTCCAATATTTAGCAAATATAATACGAGCCGATGTTAACATATATGTTAATATATATTGATCTGTTTTTTTAATACTTATCTGGCAAGATATTGAACAGAAATATTTCTGGTCTTTATGGTAGTTCTATATCTATGATTTCAGATATAAGTTTTTGTCTCTTATGCCAGTAAATTTGTATTATGTTACTGAAAAGTACTGGGTTCGCCGCATGGAGGACTCAGATGACGACATACTGTAGCACACGTTTATTGTACTTGACACAGACAAAGACTAACTCTAAACGCCCGACGGGGCCAACTATATACATATCCACCCAGCACTCCCCATTCCCATTGGAGGGTTTGAATGTCCCGCCAAAGTGGCTATTGGTTGGGGCTGGGGGATCCAGGATCCGAGGTCTCCATTGTTCTAGGATCCAAGCTCTTGCCTGTGCCGCGCACCCCTTGTGGTGGCCCGCGTACATAACAGTTACACCTCCACCACATATGGTAGAAGGTGCCAACACTATCTTTACATCTCCAGCAAGTTTTAGATAGATTTGGATAACATTTCGCGATTTTATCTGGTGACCAGTGCCACCTAAAAAACATTTTATATATATTTTTCTTATATGGTATAAGCACAAATAGCTTCAAGAGGGGACTGGAGAAACATTTGGAGCAGAGGCCCAGCAGTAGCTACTAGCCACAAGGTATAGATGGAGCACTCTGTCTGGGGCATTGGTGTTCTGTATTCTTGGTGCTGAGAGGGGGGGCCTTCTAAAATTCTGGCCACCCTGGTGGTGGACCTCTTGATGGCCCCTGGGTTTTGGCCCCTGTGTGACACAGAGTGTTGGACTGAATGGGCCTTTGGCCTGATCCAACATCGGCTTCTCTTAGGTCCTTATGTCTGGGGCAGTGATGTTCTGTATGCTTGGGGGGCAACAGTGGGAGGGCTTTTGGAGTTCTGGCACTGCTGGTGGACTTCCTGATGGCACCTGGGTTTTGGCCCCTGTGTGACACAGAGTGTTGGACTGAATGGGCCTTTGGCCTGATCCAACATCGGCTTCTCTTAGGTCCTTATGTCTGGGGCAGTGATGTTCTGTATGCTTGGGGGGCAACAGTGGGAGGGCTTTTGGAGTTCTGGCACTGCTGGTGGACTTCCTGATGGCACCTGGGTTTTGGCCCCTGTGTGACACAGAGTGTTGGACTGAATGGGCCTTTGGCCTGATCCAACATCGGCTTCTCTTAGGTCCTTATGTCTGGGGCAGTGATGTTCTGTATGCTTGGGGGGCAACAGTGGGAGGGCTTTTGGAGTTCTGGCACTGCTGGTGGACTTCCTGATGGCACCTGGGTTTTGGCCCCTGTGTGACACCGAGTGTTGGAGTTGGACTGGGTGGGCCATTGGCCTGATCCAACATGGCTTCTCTTAGGTCCTTACGTCTGGGGCAGTGATGTTTTGTATGCTTGGGGGGGCAACAGTGGTAGGGCTTCTGGAGTTCTGGCCCCACTGGTGGACCTCCTGGTGGCACCTGGGTTTTGGCCCCTGTGTGACACAGAGTGTTGGACTAGATTGGCCATTGGCCTGATCCAACATGGCTTCTCTTAGGTCCTTATGTCTGGGGCAGTGATGTTCTGTATGCTTGGGGGGCAACAGTAGGAGGGCTTCTGGAGTTCTGGCCCCACTGGTGGACCTCCTGGTGGAACCTGGGTTTTGGCCGCTGTGTGACACACAGTGTTGGACTGGATGGGCCATTGGCCTGATGCAGCACGGCTTCTCTTATGTCCTTATGGCCAAATGTCCACCTTCTACTGTGTTTTTTTTGTTGTTGATATCATCTCTAGCCCTGATTTTGGATCCCCGTTTGGCTGTTGAGTTGTAAACGGTATGCCCCGTTTGGCTGTTGAGTTGTAAACGGTAGCAGCAGAGGTCATTTCGGGGGGGATCGCAGGGGATCGCAGTTCCCCCGGGTTAGGTGGGGGGGGGGCACACGACGAAGCCTCACCCCCTGCTTCTCTCCACCCCACTTCCAGCCCTCATTCAGCCAGGAGGAGGCAGGATAAGAGGGAGGGTAAGTTGCTTCCTCCCTGCCTCTCCCCACCCCTGCCTGCCTAGGGCCAGGGAGGGCCTTGGCGGGGCTTCCTCGCACTCCCGCCGGCCTTGCAGGTCCACCGCCAGGCCTTATGATGTCAGGGGGTGTGGCATATGTTAATGAGTTATGCTAATGAGTTCCCCTAGCTCTTTTTCTACAAAATGACCCCTGGGTAGCAGACCCCTCCAATATGAAAAACAGGGAGAGGAAATGGTCCAGAGCGAACCAGCTATCTGGGGCAGAGGATTCTGTGGAGACAAATTAGCCCTAGATACCTGGGGAGCTCCTAGCATTTCCCCTTCTTTCTCATATGATGCATGCCTCGAATGCGGAACATCTCAGCTGCACCCCAGTTCTCTCTGGTCTGATTCCAGCACACTAACCACCACTTGACATTGGCTCCACACCAGTGGGCTGACTCTGCATAAGACATCTTCGTGTGTTCAGTCTGCTGATAGATCATTCCGTCAGCTGATTGTTTTGGCTATACCGAGCAATGGGAATGAACAGATGAGTGGGGGGAAATAGGGGTTTCTCTATGGTTCTGTAGACAGCTAACTGCCCCATCTAGTGGTGATGGCTGGTATTGCAAGGATTCGGATTATTTTAAACTGTTGTTATATCAATTCATTACCCACCTTTCTTTCTTATGGAGCTCAATGCAGCTTTCAATATAAATAAAATACAGCCAATAGAGCGCATAAAATACATAAAATCAAAACCACAATTTAGGACTGCTTAGGAGAGCCAGTTTGGTTTAGTGGCTAATCTGGGTGAACCGGGTTTGATTCCCCCACTCCTCCAATTACAGCTGCTGGATGACCTTGGGTCAGTCACAAATTCTCTCAGAGCTGTTCTCTCAAGGGCAGTTCTGAAAAGAGCTGTTGTTGTTGTTGTTGTTGTTGTTGTTGTTGTTGTTGTTGTTGTTGTTGTTAAACACAGTCCTAAATGAAACCATCTTCAGCCACCTCCTAAAGACCAAGTGAGAGGGCAGGTTGTTCCAGAATTGCGGGGCTCCCACCGAAAAGGCCGCTCTCTTGTGTACTCACCAGATGAGCTCCTTTCATTTATGGGAAGGTCGGAAGGGGCTCTCCTTAAGATCTTAATTCGTAATTTTGCGTTTTTCATCTATATCCACAAAAGGTCTGGGATCCCAGAATACCAACATTGGCTAACGCATCTACAGTTGACACATTTGGCTCAGTTTTGTGCCTGTTTAACTGTCCTGGCTTCCCCCAAAGAATAAGGGGAAGTAGATGTTGTTGGGATTTCTCTGTCAGGTGGCCTCAGAGAGACTACATTGCCCACAGTTCCTTGGGGAGACAGGCTGTGCACTAACCGGGTTAGGGCTGTGGTTTATAAACGCCCTAAATTTTGGTCCCTGGACACCGTGGTGGAGAGACTTGGGTGGCTTTGAAGGTTTCTTAGGGAATAGCAGTGGTGAAAAGTGGCATCAGATTGCAGCTCACTGGTGGTAACCCTATAGGGTTCTCAAGCCAACGGAGGTGGGTTGCCATTACCTGCCTCTGTACAGCAACCTTGGACTTCCTCGCTGGTCTCCCGTCCAACAACTAGCCAGGGCTAAACCTGTTTAGCTTTTGAGATCTGATGAAATCAGGCCAACCTGGGCCATCCAGGTCAGGGCAAGAGACAAACAGAGGTGGGTTTGCCGTTGCCGGCCTCTGCGTAGCAACCCTGGACTTCCTCGCTGGTCTCCCATCCAAGGACTAACCAGGGCCGACCCTGCTTAGCTTCTGAGATCTGAGGAGATCGGGCTAGCCTGGCCCATCTAGATCAGGGGGGACAAACAGAGGTGGGTTTGCCGTTGCCGGCCTCTGCGTAGCAACCTGGGACTTCCTTGGTGGTCCCCCAATCAAGTACTAACCAGGTCAGTCCTTCTTAGCTACCAAGAGCTGATGAGATCAGGCTAGTGTGGACCATCCAGGTCAGGGCAGATGAACAGAGGTGGTTCACCAATGCCTGCCTCTGCGTAGCAACCCTGGACTTCCTCGGTGGTCTCCCATCCAATTACTAACCAGGGCCGACCCTGCTTAGCTTCTGAGATCTGACGAGACGGGGCTTTCCTGGGCCATACAGGTCAGGGCTTTCCTAGAGAATGTCCCCCACCAAAGCTGGCCAAGGAGAATTTGAGGGCACTCTGATCATTTGCACGGGGCGATCCGTTGTCAGTCAGCTGGAGATGCATGCTACAAAAGGAGCGTCTTGCTCCCTCAAGGGAGTTGTGGGTCCTCTGAACGCCTCCTCTTCTCTTTCAGCATCATTCTTCGGAGACGGCTTCGTGGAGATGCCCTTGGTGAAAACGTACGCCACTGTCCAACTCCATGTGCAGTTCTACACCAGCCAGCGGAGCGGCCTCCTGTTCTTAGCTGCGGGGCAGACAGACTACCTCCTGCTGGAACTCCGCGGGGGCATGCTACAGGTCAGGAAAGATGTCCTCCCCCCCAAGCTTTCCCACCTGATCTTTACATCGCACGTTAGCCGAGCCTGGTTCTGTGTGTTTTGTTGTGCATTTCTTCCCCTGGACGAATTCTTAGCACAGTTGATGCTACAAAATGCTATTCTCCACATACGCACATCAGATGTGTCCATTGCAGCATATGCTATGATCCAGCAGGGATATTGGCTAGTACCCATGCCGCCATAACAGGCCAGCAGCACGCACGCAGTTCTCTGCAGCTCATTTGCTTATTTAAAACATTTGTAATGCCATCTTGCTACCCAGTCAGGGTCCACAAATACAGTTAAAGTTATAAAAATAATCCAGTTAAAAACACATAAGCAAACACTAGAAGGAGGGCAGGGAACTGTTATTTGGGGGGGATACCAGACAAAACAAGACAAGTCTCCACCTGCTGGTGAAAGACACCGATGGAAGACAAAACTTTTGGGGCCACAACCAAAAAGACCGTTTCTCAACCCTTACCTGGATAGCCCAGGGTAGCCTGACCTTGTCAGATCTCGGAAGCTAAGCAGGGTCGGTCCTGGCTGTTAGTTGGATGGGTGACCTACAAGGAATACCAGGGCCGTGACACAGAGGCAGGCAATGGCAAACCACCTCTGAAACATCTCTCAAAAATAAGTCTAGCTCACCACCTAGTGGTACATAATGCTAAAAGAGCTAGAGCTTATGGCTGCCAGACTATCTTAGGATCTCCTGGCTATTCCACACACACATTGCCCTGTGATAATTAATTCATTAGGCCATTTCTCAGGTTGCCACCCATTTAGCCCCAGCAGGGAGGTGAAATGTTTC